TTCCAGGAGCATCCAAGTAATGCATTTGAAGCCGGCAAAGACAAGTAATGTATTTAAAAGCGTTACTTTCAAAGTAATGCTTTAGTGATCCTCACATGATAGTATATGATAGATCTCATGCTGAACAATCGGTGATCTGCAGTTCGCGTGCCCTAATGCATGTTGATCAAGTGCTGCCATTTCAGCAACATACTTGCGAAACACATATCGGGTTTCATTACCGATAAAACCCAGGATCATATAGTACGTTTGGTGCTGATACTGTTCGAGGGCTTGGGGTGGAATATAGCAGAAATAAGTTTCATGCTTCGGCGACAGTGCTGTCGCCAGATGCCGTCCAAATCCTATGAATCTCTAGCCTCGACGGCGTCGCTTCCCGACAGCAACTATGAAGCACCTAGAGCGCTGAAGCACCTCAGCGAGAACCTGCAGCAGCTTTACGTGGAGCTGTACACGCATATGCCCGTGACACTTTGCTGCATATACTGAACCGAGTGGATCATCAAAGGAGGCTGTGCTTGATATCTCGCTTGTAGTACGTACCAGCTGAGGCAAGAGGTGCGATCAAAATGTTCATTCTGCCCCGGTGGGCGGTTGACTAGACAAGGAAATCAGTGGATGAGGGCTGCTTTTGAGGCATGTGAGTTTACGCGTGTCCCTTCGGAGAAGCATGTCGCAGAAGTGTTGCGAACATTGGCACAGCAGTACGGATTGTGCGACTCGGTTGAAGCATACTACAGACTCGTTCATACGTATGTATGGCTTTGCATCGGATCGTTTGTCAGTATATCAAGGTGATGACAGGGTGAACCTCAGCCGCTGGGCATCGGATGAGGCATTTTCTTCCCTGAGTTTGAGGGATTCGAGGGAAGTGCAGTCATGGCCATAACCATAAATTTAATTAATATGCAGGCGGGCAAGGCTTGCGAGTTGTTCAAGAGGATTGGGGCCAGCGCCCGAGTATCTCGTTGCAAGGCCAACAAGCGCAAGGCGGGGATACGTTGGCTAGCGCAAGCAATCTCCATCCATTATACCTGTATGTCCACAGGCCGGAGAATCCACGATGGATAATCAAGACACTTTGGTCATGGAGGAGCCTTTCCAAGATTATTGTAGCAACAATATATCTCCTGTATAATACCCGGCCAGGAGCCAGATGATGACTCGGATCATGGATCCGGAAATGGCTCCGATGATGCTGCTTCCGATGCAGGGGTTTCAGATGAGGATCTTGGCTCTGCAGATGAGGATGATGAGGGGGCCTTCCGGGCGAGGTTCGCGGATTTCAGTCCGGACGTGGTTGAGAGCATCATGGGGAGCATCAGATCTCATGAGCTTTTTCCATTCTTCGAAGAGTTTCGAGTCGGGAGGGCCGACTATCATTCCGATAAGAGCATGTTCGGAGCTGCACCGGTCGAAGATGTACTATCGTGGAACGCCTGGCTTGAGGGGCATGGTGAAGCTTTGCTGCAATAATACGTATGCGAGTTCCATGATGATTCATGCTGGTGATTGAATGCAACCTAGATTCAAGGCAGATGCCAAGCTGCGACTGGAGGCTTTGTCTCAGCCTCTCCAAGTTGAGGCACCGGTGGAAGTTGCTGAAAAAGCGGCGAGCCCCAATGGGGCGGATGATGGTGGATCCGATGCGGGGGAAGATGGCCGGTCATCTAAGGATGGAAGTCCCGCCGGGGATCATGATGGATCCGCTGTAAGCGGAGACGATGGGGCACCTGAGGATGCAAGCCCTGCCGGGGATGATGATGAAGACGACGGGACACCTAAGGATGCAAGCTCGGTTCAGGATGATGATGGGTCCGATTCGAACGAAGACCAGCTCGATTTCCTGGAAGATTTGGTGGTCCAGGCTAGGTCGATGAGCATGGATGATTCTAAGGAGGGCGGTGGTGGTGTCTCTTCCAAGTCCAAGCGGCGGTTGGATTTTACTGATGATGATGAGGTTTCGAAGGACAGCCCGCATGTGTGTACCACATATCATTATACATATTGTTATTCTTGCAGGATGAGAAGGAGGGGCCCGAGTTTGTTCCATCTTCCTTCAAAGCATCGGGCCTGCCTGCTGCAGACATTAACCGTGTTCAGAAGGCTGCCCTGGAGAGTGTGAACCATCCTGTGTTGACTCCTGAAGAACAGCTTGCCTTGGTTAAGAACGAGCGAGCCAAGAAAGCCGCCAAAGCCAAGTCCAAGAAACGTGCTGGGATACTCGGATGGAAGTAGAGCGGCTTCGTAACAGGCAGAATTATTCAGCTGAAATTCCAGTCAAACCAAGGAAGAAGATTACGAAGCCCGGTGTCGCGGTATATTCGTCTGGATGGCTGAGGGAAAGCAAGATTCGGCCGACCGGTACTTGGATGCAAGTTGTGTATACCTGGGCTCGAGCAGTCTTGTCCATGTATGTATTGCATATACTACTTTTTCCTGCTGCAGGCAAACAGGCCGGCGATGGATACTTCGTTTTCTGGGCTCCTTCCGGCACGCTGTGCACGAGTATTCCCCAAGCCGAAAAGCAAGGGTTTGTGGATGATGATGCTGACATCGTGCGGTTGTTGGAGGGAGAGGAGGCTGAGAAAATGAAAGCCGAGAGGAAGGCTTTGATGTATAAAGCCAGGGCCGTGCCTAGGTTGCATAGCTTCGCGCTTGAATCCGTAGCCGGTGTATACTGTATAAAAACTTAAGAAGCCTGACCCACAAATTGAGGTGAAAATCCAGAGCTCCAGAAAGGCCAACAAGGCGAAGGAGGAGGCCTGCTCAATATAAATAGTGTGTGATCCAACCCACCTTAATAAGATTAGGTGGCAGGGAATCATATTAGATAAACGATCGCGACTATTGTGCAGATCGAGCAACCCCATTCAGATCCCATAGGTAAAATTGAGCTGGTAACCAACCCTACTACTAGCCCTAGCCTGGGAACATTTGAGCATCTGGACTTTTCAGGCTCCGCCGGCAGCTGCACCCGAAGAGGAGCCAGAGTCAGAGGGCTCCAGCAGCCAATGTGATTAGATATAGCTTAGTACGTGCTGAACATGATGATGGTGGTGCTGCTAGAACGATTCTATCAGAACTTCGGCTAGATCCGAAATTTTGTCTCTGAGGCTTGCTGGGTGAAAATCGCACATCCTGGTGTGCCAGAGCAAGTTGTCTTTCTATGAGATATTGCACCCTGTTCGTTGGGGCAAATTGGATCAAGGATCGAGTAGTGTTCCAAATATGTTGCTTTTGGTGCTGCTTGTGGGGGTTATTCTTGGTCGTGCACTATGTGTGCGGCCGTCCCGCCTACGTCCCGTGCTTGAAGCTGCACTTGAAGTGCCTCTCCCCGAACAACGGCTTGATTTCGATACTAGACCGCATACAGGTAGATCGCACATGCTTTAACTATGATACACATTATGTACCGAACCAAGATCGAAATATGCGCTGGGAATCATGCCGCTTGTCTTATATGATAAATGGCACAGGCAACACTAGGCGGTATGGTGTAAGACAACCAAGGCATTGACAGATGCACTGACTATGTTCGGATATGCTGGAAAGCCGATGGATGCCCCGAGGCTGCATACACTCGCCGGTGCCCTTCGCTATTAAAGTATGCTTGCTCTAAGGCCAAATATTCCCGGAACCACGACTTTATGCGGACAATTGGTTTCATGGCAGTTTTGACAGCAGCTTCCTGAATGCAAGTAGATCGAGATACAGAGTCCTGTTGATTCCTACGACAATACTGAGGTTCGAAACCTTCGCCGACCAGGACTCGTGTGGTTTGCTCCTCCTTGCAGCTCTTGGATTTGGATGCACCTCGATCGTACCATAGTGCCATGTGTGCGATCGAGTCTACTAGATACGGGCCCAAGCTGTGCAACTATCCGTATGTTAAGGAGTCGAGGGGCTACGGGCAGGCGACTCGTGCGGCCTTCTGGTTTTGCCAATCGACTGACGAAGGTTCGATGTGCGAATGTTTTCGTTCGCCGAATGATATATGTGTTTCTTGCCGGCTTATACACACGACACGGATGACTAGCTTCTGCTTGTCGGGTGTTATTTATGTGCTTGTCTGAGGCTACATGTGGCCTGGAAGATGGGCCACTTCATCATGGTCGAGCAACCTGTGCGCAGTCTTCTTTACAATTATAGGCCTGTGCGGCGATTCATGTTGAAAATCAGAGCACACTTGATTTCTTTCTCGATGTGTGCGTATGGTGCACCAAGCCAAAAACCCACTCAGTTCCTCGGCCGCAAATTTCAATGGGGCCGATGGCCTAGCTACGATCGTGCAGAAATACGACGCCCAAACCCCGAGCCCAGACAAGCTCTAAGTTCTGAAAACAAATTGACCCGCCC